AGCTCCGCTCGACTTCCCGCTCGGAAAACGGGAAGGAATCCGGGGAAACCTCGAGCCTTGCTGGCACGCAGGCAGCTACTGCCCTCCCCGGATCCAGCGTGGCTTTTCCATGAGGGATTTTAATTCCTAATCAAAGCCTTGGGCTGGATTTCGCGGCCTCCTCTTCCCATGGTGCGAATTCCATCCGTTCCCCTTCCAATCTCCCGGCCGGGCCTCATCCGACGCCTCCGTTGCTAATAAATGTGGAGAGCTGAGCAGCAAAATCCCACTGGTGACACTAGCAGGAATTCAATTTGGAAATTAAAGCCCGTGCCGTAGAAATGGGCGCCTGGAATGCCCGCGTCTTTGTTCCCGGCCTGCCAAACGCCACTTCCATAAGGAATCCAGGAGCGATGGAGCCGGCGTGGCCTTTGTTCCCCGGCTCCGGTCCCTTTCCATCGCCTCCTGAAAACATCGGGAAAAGCCTTTTTAGTAATTTTGAAGTCTTTCGTCGTTTCTTTCTGCTTTCCTGTTTGTCCAGGATAGCAGAAAGCAATATTTTTGCACTGGCAAAACAACACTAGTTTAAACAGGTTTAAATAGGCCCCAAATTTTCTTTAAAAGAGGAATAAAACACAAGCAAATATCTTGTTGAAAGGAGGGGGAAATTGCTGCGTATATTTGGGGATGAAATTAAAAATAATTCTGCTTTTTGGGACACCCAGGAACCCAAATTCGCCTGCTGGATGCTGCCCAGGCCACATCTCTGGCAAACACGTTTAATATTAGAAAATAATTGTTGTCGTATGTTTACAAGGCCACCAAATATTTAACAAGTGGCCGCTTTTGTCTTCGGAAGGCAGAGCAGGTGTCCGGAGCAGCGGCCACAGGACCAAAATTAGCAAAAAAGAAACCAAAAAAAGGGATTCCCAAAATAGATTCCCAATTCCAGAGCCGGAATAAATGGCTAGTTTGGGTTAGCTGTCCACCAGCAAGTTTCCCTGAAATCAATGGCACCGGGTTGGATTTACAGCTCCTGTCATTTAACTATTTATTTAAATACCTAAAGAAGGATTTAGCTCAATTTACCGACTTTATTTTTACATCTCAATCTCAAGAAATTGTCCCCAAATTACGTGTTTTATTAGTGATCAATGGCAAGCCAGGCTAATGACAAATCTATATCACCTTTCTCTTGCCTTTTACCAAAGAGATTCCTGGCAGGGAATTCGGCAAATACCAGCTTTTTTTAAAACTATTTTCAAAACATTTCACAAATTTCCTTCTTCCTTAGTTATTTTATATTAGGCTCTCTGCTCATTGGCATGGTTTTCCTTCCAGCTTCACTTGTTATTTAGGTCACACCAGATTGGCCTCGGCCGCGGTACCAGGACGAGCCTTTCCCTTTTCATCCCATTCCCGAATCCGCTGCGGTGCCGGGATTCCTCCCAAAATCCCGCTTTTCACGGGAACGTTGCCGGCGGATGGCGGGCAAAAAAAGGGCCGTTTCGCCACTATTCACATCCCGGGTTGCTTCATTAGTGGGACGGGGTAATTAAAGCGGGACGAGAAAGGGCCGCGGCAGATGTGGGCTCCGACCTGATAATTATTCTGGAGCGGCTCCGGTCGCGGCTGCGAAATCCGAGGAAAACGGGAGGGTGTTTAGGAGGCTTGAGGGGGCTCGGCAGGGGCATTCCCGGGATTATTCCTCTTTGGATGTGCACCCAGCTCTTCTTTGGGGTGACTTTTCTATGGAGAAGCCATTCCCGGGACTTTGTGGGAGGTTGGGCTGTTTCCTGCTCGTTTTTCTCCATTATTTCTCCGGTCTCCAATGGGCAGCTCCCAATATTCCCGCTGGTTGACAACGGGAATGTTTCGCGCTCCGCAAAGTTGCCCGTTTCTTAAAAACGCTCCGACGAGGCCATTCCCGAAGGGAGCCGAGCATCCCGGTGCAGCGCCCGATCCGGGGACCGGCCAAGGGCCGCACGGAAGCTCCGGCATTGGATATCTAATCCAAAACAAAGTAAATCCAAGCAAAGTCTGGAGTCAAACTCCTTAATTGTGATGCATTTGCCGAGTTTCCCTCTCCCATCGCCGGCCCTGCTCCGATGCCATATGGTCTAGCACGGAACATTTAACTTGTCAGATATAATGGATCGTCCTGGAAGCAGATTTTTGCTCGGAGCGCTCGGCTCCTTTCTTGCATTTCACTCGCGGCTCCGGGCTGCGGGATGAAGGATTGGGCTGGAAACGCAGGGAAGAGGCTGCGGCCCCCGCACAGGGGGACCTATGGGGTCCCCCCTACATGGAAGGGGGACCCCGGGCCTTTAAAACACATATTGGCTCTTAAGGGAGCGTCCATTCGCTAATTATTGTGGGGGTTTCGCGTCTTACATTGGAATAAACGAGCGGTTTTCCTTCATCCCGCCCGGAGCGTCGGAATTCCGGTGTTTTCGGAGGGATCCGCCTCGTTCGGCAGGTGCAGCCGAGGTTCTTGCACCGGTGCGACCTCCCCAAGCAAACGGTGGGATAAGAGGGCCAAAGCAAATCCACCCCGGTTTGGCCCCTGGGAATTCCCTCGGCTCAAATAAAAGAGGAAATGCTGCAAATTTGGCTAAAAGTTCCACGTGGGGCTGCCGAATTTTGCAAAACTTCCCCGCACGGGATGTTTGTGTGGAGCAGGGCTTTCTTTTGCATGAAGGTTCTTGCATTTTGCAAGCTCCTAAGCAAAATCCTAGTCCGGTGAAAAATCCCTCTTGCAAAGACATTTTTTTTCCCCATGTAGGAAAAATCCCCCTGACTTTGTTTTCCAGCCAGAGCTTTCCCTGGATTTCACCTGACGGCGCTGGGGCGATGACTTTGCCAGGCTGCTCAGCCCAAATTGCGGGTTGTTTTATCCCTTTTTTTTTTATTTTTTTCCCTGGAATATTTGGGAAATGTCAGTTCCCAAGTGTAAAAATCTTCTTGGGGAATGCATGCCCTCTGCTGGATAGCCCGGACCGGAGCCTCCCGGGTATTTCCTAACGCTCCGCGATATCTTTCCCAGCACATTCCCGCTGCTTTGCCGCGCTCTCGGAAGCGCCTGGATTCTCTTTAGCTAATCCAGGCCACCCCATCCCTGTCGCTTCTCCAAGGTCAAAATGGGATTGTGATGGGATTGGGTGGTTTCCCAGCACCTATTCCCGGCCCATCTCGAGTCCTGTCCATTGGGAATGGGAATGGGGCCGCGTGGCGAGTGGGATTCATGGAGTTTTTGTCTCTTCCCAACATTTGGCGCATGCAGAGCCATCCAGGTGCTCCATTATCTCCCTTAGACTCCAGCTCCGCGCGGGCAGGAAAAGCAAAGGAGCCTGAGGACACTGATGAAGCCGGCTGAACTGCAGGATTTCTTGGATAAACGCTCCCTTTTCCCCATTTTTTTGCAGTCAGGTCTGCTTTTCTGGACAGAACAGGGGCAAACGCCAGAAAGGCCATCCTAAAAAAGGAAACACGCCTAAGGCAAACTGCAGAGCGGAGCAGATCCGCATTCGCGTTGCAATCCCTGCTGCGATTCCTTCCCCTTTTTATTTTTTCCTCTTTTCACGCCGGCCGGGAACGAGCCCCGGGCTCCGGCATGGGGATAAGCCGGCATTGGGGCTCATCCCTGAAGGGCCGAGGCCGAAGCGAGCCCCGACTCCTCCTCGCCGCCGCGATTGACGCCGCCCCGCCGGCTCCTCTGAGCAGCCCCAGCCGCGGGGCTTGGCACTGCCGCCGTTGTCCCGGTGCCAACAAATATCCGCAGCGGCTGGCGCCTTCTAACGCGGGGGGGCCCGGCCGGAAAACGCCGCTCCCGCCGCCCCGCTTCCAAAAAATGCCCCCAAAACGAACGCGCCGCTGGATTTTATGCAAAGGAAGCTGCTTTGAAGCGAGCGGTTTGCGCCAAAGGTGGTTTTTGGGTCCCTCGCCCTTGTGAAATGAAGGATTGTGGGGACAAAGCAGCAGCGCGCGGGTGCGGCGGGCGCGCGCGGGGCTTTTCCTGCCTTTTCCATGGATTTTTCGCATGCGCATCCCCACGGTGCCGCGCGCGGGGAGGCATCGCCCCGCCGCGCCGGGGA